ATTACTCGTGGCAAAACTCGATTTTCTCGATATATGTGCTCTCTCTCTCTCTCTCTCTTTCGTGCGATATAATAGTGTGCAGTTTCACAAACGAGTGCTCGCGAGCGTTCAGTTTTTGCCACCCAAGAGGGTAGTAGGGGCGATTGTACAGCTGATAAATTCATTCTTGATTGAAATCACTTTGCAAGAATAAACTTTCTTTTTTTCTCTCTCTCTCTCTCTAGCTCGCGTTGAAATACGAGCTTTTTTTGAAGAATTTCAATTATTTTTTCAAAAAGAAATTTGTTGGATAAAATTTCAAAGACCGAGCCAGCCTTGACGAAATAAATTTTGTAATTTTGTCGTCGTTAATTCAGCTAGCTGTGTCGTACACGAAGCTGAATTATTTTATTAAATAAAAAAATGTCGAGTATTTTCAAATTCTCCCGAGGCTTCGTAATACGTATGCTTCAGATATATGTATACGACGGTGACGCAGAAGCGCGCGACAAATGACCAACTTGGAAATAGAAATGAAAAAAAACTTCTCTATCCTCGCAGGACACCGAAGATATAAAGTCTGACATACTTCTCTTTCTCTCTTTCTCTCTCTCGTACATATTGCACTGTTTCCGCTTTTCTTTAAGCTGGTATATAAAGCGACTTTTTAAGCCGTTCAAATTGATATTTTCATCTATAATAAAACGCGGCCGCGCATCAATATCGTTGCGAATCTTTCGAGGATTGCTGCACACAAACGCCCGCTCTCGCTTGCAGATAGACGTTCGATCTTCTCTGAATTTTGCAAACAATTTTACGATGCGAGACGAGTCGAGATTCGAGAATATGCGATCTGTACGTATCTAGTATAGCATATAAAATACAAAGAGAACCTTTTTCCTCGATCTTTGCGTAAAAAAGTGAGAGAGGTGGAAGGGACGCCTTTCACAGAACGCATTCCATCTAAAATGCTATTCATCTAGTCGACTTTTTTCAACCCGGACGATCCTCGAGTCTCGACTGACGATGATAAATAGCTGGATTTCGACTCGGCTTGCGCGTCGTGCCGTACATCCTTACCTATTATATACACTTGCTCTAGCAGAGCTCCTATTTTTTTCTCTCTACTCTCTCTCTCTCTCTCTCGTTCAGGAAAAGAGAGAGAAAATTCTGATTAAACACGAGGAACGAGAGACGTTTAAATTACTTTCCCATGTTGTATGTATAAAAGAGCTGCCCGCCGCCGTGAAAATGAGCACCTCGTCGAACGGTTATACATACTCGAGAGTTGCACGAAGTGCTACACAGCTCGAGAAAGCAAATTCACCCTCTCGTTTCTGCCCGCGCGAGTGTGTATAATAGCTGCGAATTTATGCGCGAGAAAAAAGAAAGAATTTACTCGCGCACATACCTATATAATATTGAAGTACTCGAAGCGCTAAGCGGCCACGATTATTTCTAAATTTCATTTTCAACATTTACTTTTGAGCGCCGCAGAGAGGTAAGTATATTAACATTATATATAATGCACGGCAACAGAAGTAGATGTAATAGGGAAGAAGAAGAAAATCGAGAGAAGACTTTTCTTTTCCCCTTTGCGCGGCGAGTTGATAAAAATTGGTGCCTCTTTTTCCCCACGGATTGCACACTTCGCTCGTTCGTGTGTATGTGCAGCGTGCGCATGTGTGCGCGTGAGAGTTTCAGCCGTGTTCAGCTCGACGGAACGAGGAGCTACATAGGTACACGCACGAAGATGTATTTTTCCGACTATTCAGCGTAAAATTAAAGTGTGCAGCTTCCACGACACTTATATAATACAGAAAAAACGTATTCATTTTTTCTTTTTCTTTTTCTCATATACACACGCACAATTTAAACAGTAGTAGAGAGAATCAGTTAAAACTCGAGGGTATTGTGAATCTATAAAAGCTGATACCCTAAACGACGAATGGTCAGATCATCGCGTATATTAAAGGAAAGTCCATCAATAAAAAAATACCCACTTGTTTTTTATAAATGAAACGATGAAAATAATATTTAGACGATTCTTGAAATAATGTTTATAATGCTTGAATATATGTGCGTATAAAATATGCGCTAATTCATTTATGAAATACTATTCATATCAATCTAACCTAAAAAATCTCTATTGTCTGACTTGTTGTGAGACACGTGATTATTTTACATATTTTTTCATGTAGGGGAGAGGCGGGTAAGTGGAACATGGCTGGTAACCGTGTCACCCCCATAAAAAATGCAATTTTCAACTTAAAATTATGAAATAAATTTTTTCATAGTCCTTTCATCATTTATGATATTTGTACGAAAAAAAATTTTTCAAAATCCATTTTTTTTAACAAAAAAAAAAAATTGTTGAAAATTTTTGACTAAAAAATCCAATATAACCAATATTTCAACTGAGTAGCAAAACGATTAAAAACATTTTTTTGCTTTTGAAATTTATATCACTAGAAAGCTAGAAGCTTGAACTTTAATTTCCTTTTTTTTAATTCTTCTACGATTAATATTAAAAAAGTTATTAACAAAATAAAGAAGGTACTCAAACCGGGCGCGAGGGTCACCTTCCGTCGGGCACTAGTGTCACATGACGACCTATCAATAACCCATTCACGTCCAGAATAATGAAATTTTTTGTTCGTGATCGACGCGATTTTTTTTTATATTTTGAAACGCAAAAAGATTTTGCGCATACATAATTTCATGTAAAATTTAATGCCCTTTCAGAATCCGGGCTCAAATTTAAGATTTAATGCTTCGTCAAAAAGTTATGGTTGTTTAAACAAAAACAAACGTAAAAATTTGCGCGAAAAATCAACTCAAAGAAATTTTTTCCAAGTGTTGCAGTATGAAACTCGAGGTATAAATATGATGAGAGGTAGTTATGGATGTAGAAGTACCGTAAGGAATTTTTCTAAATTTTTTTAGCTACTTAATTTTCTAACAAAATGGCGTCCCTCAAGTGAAATGTTTATAAAAAACCAAACTTGATTTTTATCTTGAAAACCATTGGGTTTAGAGAAAAAGTTTATGGAACAAAAAAGTCTTAAAATTTATCAAAAAAAAGCCCCAAATTTTTTCAGAATTTTCGGAGACGATTTTCAATTTTCCGACAATTCGTCGAGTGCAATCTCTTAAAAAATCTCAAAAAATTCTGAAAATATTTGAGAATGTTTCTCGATAAATTTGGAGACTTTTTTATTCCATAAACTTTCTCTCTAAACTTCATTGTTTTTGAGTAAAAAAATATATTATTCTACACATGTATGTATTTTTTGCATGATAATATACATGACACTCGTGCCCGACTCCTATGGCACAATTCCCGGCTATTGAAAAAAGACGGGCAATTATGACAAATTTTTTGAAATTCAATAAAAAATAGAAATTTCATTGTAATTTTTTAATTTTAATATATGTTATAGAGCTTGAGCTCCCCTTTGCAATGATCGTTTCAGATTTGAAAAATTTTAAAAATTCGCTTCAGGAAGCAAGTTTGAAGTTATGGTGTCACTCATGCCCGTCTCTCCCCTATTCTTCTGAAATTTAAAAAATTGATATCTTTATTATTTTGATTATTTATCTTGTACATGAATTTGGATATTTATCACAATCCGTTAAAAAAATTCGGTATTTAATAATCATGTACTCAGTATTTAGTAATCATTTATGACAATCATGTTAATAATCATATTAACATATGGAACCGTCAGAAAACTCGTATAATCAACATAATATCGAATTTCGTTCATAATTATTTCATTGGACTCATTCAGAAAATGTACTGTTTTTTAAAACTAATTTGAATTTTACAAAGCGTCTTCCCGCATGTGAATGTAACGATAGTCACGTACACACACACACAGATGTGTAAGTGAAAGTTTCACATATGTAACGAGTATTTCTGACAAGTTAATCAGATGATCAATCAAAATTAATTCAACCGGAAGTAATTTTAGAAAAATACGTGATCAAATACATCAAAAGAATACGTAAATCGAAAGTCTGTCAATGGAGACTTTTTAGGTTAAAATGGTTAACATACACATAATTGTTTAAAAAGATTGATTAACTAATTTTGTTTTATTTTTATCGCCAACAAACGCTGGAGAACTGAAATTGAGCAGTACATTTTTTGTGTTCTTGGCCATTGTGCGGTGGCGCGCACGAAATTTCTACATGATAATATTGTTAAATGAGCAGCTCTCGTTATAAATGTGAGTTTTACGAAAGAAGTGGGACTATACACAGTAAGGGTAAAGATCTAATGAGCACAAAAGCAAGAGATGGAAAGGCCAGCCAGCCAGCCAACCCACACACATACACTCACACAGACCCACTCGTATTATACACCGTTACAGTGAGCGAGCTATGAAAAACAAAAAATAAAAAAAAAATACACTCTTTCATTTTCGCGGCCGGGAACTGGGTAAACACTGACAGGCAGGCTAGCCTCTCTCAGTCAGCGTCGGAGAGGTATTTTCTTCCGCGCGCACAAAGTCTTTCGAGTATAAAAATTACCATACAGTATGCATGCGTGTGTATGTGTGTGTACTTCGGCTCGCACAACCGAGACCAGAGCTTGCGGAGAACGAGCTTGTACTCGCCTTATATAAGAATATATTAGCCGACAGAGTTGAGATTATAATACGTGTGCGGGCTAAAGGGGGGGGGGGGGGGGGGGNGGGGGGGGGGAAGAAAAATTCTTTTTTTGCCTTACATGCTCTGCCACTGCTTTCTCTATTCCAAGCCAAAAGAAGAGTTATGACCTCGCTTTTGCTCCCGTATACGTACGACGATTGGAATTTATTTTTTCAAAAGCAGCTCCTTTGTTGTGCGTCGAATTCGATGTTTTATTAATTTGCCAGATCGAGCCACAGAGAGGCGGAGCGCGAGAGAAGAACGGCTCATTCGTGAATGCAATATTCAATCGATATCACCGCCTCTCTTAATTAACCAACTTGATAAGGCTTCGATATATCAACACTCATGTATATACCAACCGGATTCAAGGCGGACGCGGGCTCCTGCAGCGCCCGCTCGAGATTCCCCAGTCCGAAGTAATTGGCCTCTTGGCGCAGTCGCTCTCGCTCCCTGAAGCCGTCGGGCAGCACCAGGGCCCGATCGCGCAGATAGTCCAGCACGTAGCGAAACAGCACTCCGTCCCGGTCGAGGAAGTAGCGGCCCTTGGCGTCGCGCTCCAGGCCCTGGCTGGCTCTCGGCTCCTTGAACAGGCTGGCGAGCTGCGAGTCGGCCTCGCGCGTCAGCGTGCTCAGGGCCGTCGTGTAGAAGACGCCGCCGACGTTGAGCTCGATCAGCTGCGAGCTGCCGCCTTCCGGGTCGGGCATGACGGTCACCTGCGCACAAAAAAAATCAAATTTATATCCATGAAATGAAAAGAGCTCTTATATCATTACGGGCGATCGTCTTTAGTCCTGTGGGCGCGAACTTGGATATGTTGTACGCGATGAATCACTGCCATCCGCGCGCGGGCGAGACTCGTCGGACGTGACGCGAATTTATAAATCGAGCTTTGCGCTTGGCTTACTTATATCGGGCGCGATGATCGCGGAAGATTTAAAGCTCTTTGGTGGTGGAATTTCGACCTCGACACGCGTTTTCTTTATAAATATAAATTTGCGTTAGACGAGCGCAAATAAATAAGCGATTTTGCCGAGTAGCTTAGCGCCAGGAATTAAGGGACTTGATAAATCTTGTATACGAGGCGCACCGATAAAGCATAATAATGTACTCGCGGGTTGCTGGTTATACAATAACACACTTCTCGGTACTCCCGCGTGTACTAGACGTCGCACATACACGAATTATGTACGCACGCGAAAATTGGGACAATTGTCGAGAGCATGTTTATATACGCGAAATACAGCAGAGAGAGAGAGAGATACATAGAGACAGCACAGCGCAGAGAGAGCGAGATGAGGATCATGAAGGAGCGAGAGAAAAATATGAAACGAAGCTGGGCAAACTCGAGCGCGAAAGTGCAAGAAGGTCACCTTCTGATGCTGCTGCTGTTGCGTACGTATATATAAATTTTCTAAGGAGTCGCGGAGAGCTGCAGTCGCGTTTCGTATAGTACATAAAGGTAAAGCCCAACTTCAACCTATACTAGATATATATACAGCCGAGCGCGCGGGGGTTAATTTCCATTGTCTTTCTGTGTATATCATCTGAGGGCAGAAAGAGAGGAGAGGAGAGGACACTAGACTCGGCGAAGCAAGAGAATTGAGAGCAACAACAAGCTTTACTCTCCATTTTCCACTTAAGGCATAAGGAATTCTTACCTCGTTTTTTTTTATTTTACTTTTTTGTTGTTATCTTCCATTGTATTTATAACTATACGCACACTTTGTAATAATACAAAAAAAAATTCTCTTTTTACTTCGTTCTTTCTCTTTGTTATACGGTATATTTTCGTGTACGTACGCACACTTGTACGCGAGGAATATAATAATATATAAGGCTTCTAACTGTGTGCATTCCCTCTCTTTCCCTCCCTTGGCTTATAAGCCGCTAACTCACGAGAGAAAATATTTGGTCACGCCGGGGCTGGCTGGCTGGTGCGCGGCACGGCGGGCGTGCCAGCAAAAGAGGAAAGTTCTGAAAACGACAAGTTTAATTTATTTCGCTTACTTCTGACGACAAATTTAAAAGACTCCGGGCGGCCGCGACTTTATTCTCTCTCTCTCTTTTTCGCTCTATGTTCTTTGGACATTTCTCATTAAAAAGAAAGAAAGAAAGGAAGGAAGAGAGTGAGCGAGAAAGAGCGGCGAGAAATGCAAAAGCGATTCTGAAATAAAGTACACGCGTTTTCTTTGGGCATTCTTGCTCCTTTGATTTTTTTTCTCTGCAGTCCACACGACGATGTATGAATACAGCGCACGTAGTAACCGCTCTTATATTTCATCTTTCCTCGCGCTTGCGGTTAATGCATTAATCCACGCGCGCGAGACCACGGGGCGAAAGCTCGATGATCGTCGTGAGCGCGCGTCGGACGATTTTCCTTCAATTTCTTGGGATTTGTTTTGCGCAAAAAAAATGAGAAATAATAAAAATAAATAAACGCAATCTAGGTCGTGACGGTGAAAATGTTTTTTTTTTTCTTAGTTTGAGAAGCGAGCGAGTAAGTAAGCCGCGCGCTTACTCGAGCACTTCACGATTTAGCATTTATGTATACAAAAAGAAAAAGGGAAGAAAATCAGCAATAGCGCGCGACGTGGTCTTTTTCATTTGTTTTTTTTTTCTCTCTTTTTGCACATTACATTTTCATAACGGACGTGGCTGCGGGCGCATTGATTACAGTTAATGGCCATTAACGTCGTCGGATAATTATATTCTCGTTTTTATGTTTTTTTACCTCCTGTTTTTTTATCATACTTTAGTTTTAGTTCGTACCGCAGAATCGATTTTAAATACGCAGAGAAGAGAGGTGGACTTTGTTTACCATTCTGAAGTAAACAAGAGCTTTATTTAGTAACGGTACATACAACGAGAGAGAGGGAGAGAGTTCGAAACAAAAAAGAAAAATCAAATTTTAATTTCAATAGAGAGGATGACCGTACTCTTTAATCACCCTTTGGCTTTAATTGACGTCGATCAATTAAATTGCGCGCGTATACGCGTAACTGCAATGCAAATAAAACTGCATGCGCATGCATGTGCTACTGTCGTTACGTCTTTCTTTTCCTTTTTTGTTCAAATCACAATGAACAAAATATTTGTAAATAAAACGTAAATTCGAATCCGAGTACTCGATGCGCATCGCGAATGCCCACATACTCACACCCACACACACGTGTGTGTAATATGAATTGCTTCTCACTCGAAGCTCGAGCTCGAAGCGGTTTTATTATACGCATCGTTAGCCTTTCGTCGTATTACTCACATGTTTGTGTATGTGCGTGAGTGCACGTGTGCATGTGTAATATTGATTACGCAATAATAATGTTCATTTGGCGAAGGGCAAATATTTATAAGACCTAGATTGGCTCTTACGAGCCCTGCGGATTGACTGTGTATATGTGTGGGTGCATCTCGTGTGGCCCCCGTGGGGTCAATAACGTAAATGCACGGGATGCGTCATAAAATTGCCGAAGGTAAACAAAAACATTGGTCGTATACGATCGGCTATTAAAAATTTTGTTATACAAGCAATTATAAAGTTCCTATATATATTTGAAGGGATGCGTGTACGTAGTTATTTAAGGATAATCGAGAAGGGCGAGCACGCGAATCAATGTTTATTTTCGATTTTACGAAATCGAGTCGTAGAGAAAAAAAAACACGCATAATACAAGTCAAACAGTCGCGACTCGTTAAAGAGCTGTCAATATCGAAAAAAATCATTTAAAGATAAAAAAGGTATAAAGCTCGCCTACGCATTCATACATACGACTGAAAAAAAGCTCAATGAAATAATGGTGCGGTATAACAGTTACATTAGAATCAGCCTCGCGCGTATTATAAACGCGTTACCGTCTTTTTTTTATTACGTTCTCGAGTCACCGGGGGGATGCAGCCCGAGCTTTATACGTATTTAAGCGATGGGTCGACACCGTCGCGTATACGAGGTCGTTAGGATATTTTTAAGAGTCATCTCGGGGCTCTGTTGCATCGTGATTATCGGCAAGCAAGTATAAACACGTATACTGCTCCAGTAGAGAGCGAGAGCGAGCGGACGAAAGCCACGTAAGCAAAATAACGAGCCAACGTAATCATCTCGCGCGGAGCGCGTTGCTTTATGCTCCAGTACGTAATAAATAATAAATATAAATAGTTAATTATTGTCGGCTTCGCGAGGTTCGAGGTAAGATAGGATGTGCGCGCGGCGCGTGCAAGCGTAGTGAGCCGGAGCTCCAAAACCCGTTATCCCGCTCGTGAAAAGCTCGACAGCGTCGGCAGCAGCAGCAGCAAGAGCAGCTGCCGCATCGTCAGTCTATATGTACAACGTACTTGTGGAGATAAAAAATACAAGGCAGCCAGAGAGATAGAACGAGAGAGACAGAAATATATATAGTATAAGGTATATTATGTACCGAGGAGCGCGGCTCGCGCGGAGCACGGCTGCAACAAGTAAACGGTCATAATACGATCTATCCTATCTCGTGTACATATATGCACAGTGTAGCATGAGGCGGACATCGGAACGACGTTGGGGAGTATATACTCGCGTATCGCATGTCAGACAAAACCGCGCCGTAGTCGTCGTCGTCGTCGTCGTGCATCTATCGAGGCACTACCTCCACTGCATTAGTAGCAGCCGCAGCAGTAATAGTGGTGTTGTTGACTCTCGCATACATTATACGCGCGTGCTTGCAGCAGCAGCTGTGCAGCCTCGATTCTTCGCGCTTTCGAGCTTTCGCACTAATAGTGTATCGCATAACGGCCCGCGCATATAGCGGCGACAGAGAGAGATAAACGCAAGCGCATCGAACTTGCGGTCGGACGCGATATCCTACGTGTACGTGTGTGCGTCATTGTGTTGCATATATTCCGTCGATATACGCGTGTATAATGTTTCACGATGATAAAAATGTCGGATACGTGTACGCGCGCTACGAGCTTGCGGAGGGGATTAAATTGCGGCGTGGAAGTTGATATTTACAATTTGTGTGCTGTAATCGAGCGAAGATATATAGACGAACGCAGTTTAATGATAAAAACAGAGCTGTACATTCGAGGAGATAATTCGATACACACCTGGTTGCTGCTGCTCGTGTGACTTTAATGGATCCCAGTGTGCGTTATCCAGGCGCACATATATATTATAGGCGAGCACGATTCTACGGCCTACGCATATGTTTGCTGTGTTTGTGATTGTACAATCGATCACCTAGTCGAGAGAGAGAGATAGATAGAGAGAGCCGAGAGCGAGAAAAGAAAGATAACGGCGCAAGATAGCGGAGCTTTCGGAGCGCGCCTTTGACCAGCCGTTGAAAGCTCTCAGCTGCTGCAGCGACGAGGCTTCTGGGGGGATGTGGGACGAAGATAACGACGACGACGATGACGATGATTGAACCGTGTGCTCGGAGGGCTGCTGCAGCGAGGAAGGAGAGGAGCGGCCGCTGCACACGCACACTTCACCGATCTCGTGTTCAGTTTTTCCGACGCGGCATGACACACACACACACCCACCAATAGCACAGCGACAGAGCAAAGCCGAGAGCTCTCGATATACCTTATTTCGCACAGAGTATATTGGTTGTTGTTATTATGCAAAGTCTCGCGTCGGGGCTGCAGCCACGTACTCGAGTCTATGTACTCGTTATTTTATCTCTCGCTCGCGCTCGCACTCGAGGACGAGAGCAGCAGCGGCGCACGACTGTCGAGCTTGAGCGGCGAGGTGAAACTGCCTTGCACTCGCACTCGCACTCCTAGACAGAGAGATAGAGAACGAGAGAGTTGCAGAACTTGCAGCAGAAGCGGGAGCGGCACAGCAGCAGCAGCAGCTTCCCGCAGAGCAGCAGCAGCAGTAGCAGTAGCAGCGGTGGCAGTGGCGGCGGCGCGGATAGATCATCGGGCATCGCAGGCGCGCAGCGCCGAAAACACGCGCTATGCTGGAAGGAGGAAGAGGAGGTGGAGGAGGTGTAGGAGGAGGATTGAAGCGAGGAGGGTATGAAACGCGCGCGCACACGGTGGTGTACATTGGACTGTCCGTTATTTCCCAAATTGCTCGTATCCGTGCTCGCTCAACCCTTGAAAGCTCACAATCTTTTGGGTTACAATTAATGAAAGAAAATCTATGTCCGATTTAGTGTCATCAGCTTTAGCTTTTTCCCATTTGAATAACATAGGAAATTTGAGTTTGAAACAACTTAAAATATCTTATCCTCGGGTTTTATATTTCTAAAACCAAATTTTCCAGCAGTATATGGCTGATTTATTGTCCTCTGAAAGACTCACTTAAAAAAAAAGAATCATCATTGCATTATGTTTTCACGTATGACATTCAAACTTGACTGCATGATACATATGTGATAAAAATAGTAATACTTTTTTTTTAAATGATATACATAACGCGTATTGAAATTCATTTTAATCTTGTCACTTTGTTGTCATTCATGGACATGTCCTGGCCGTATATCGCGATGATTATTTTATTATTTTATTTTTCTTCGGCCGTCGTCATCCTGGTAAAAAGTCGAGGATCAGCCGACCGTTGAGCGTCAGCACGTCAAGATGAAGCGCTAAATTGTACCGGAAGCCGAGCCGACGCACATCAACAGCATCGACGATGCCGCTATGATATGTACACGACGCACTGATGATCTTTTCAATGTAACACCATCACTAATTCATTTCACTGTTGGTACAAAATCGCGATTTTTCTGCTACACGTCAAAAAATCGCGGCCAGATGGTTTGTTATTATTCAAGACGAATGTCAAAAAAAACGTAAACATCAAATCATTACTTAAATATTACTTGCGGGTTACGAACTTTCGGCCGTCTATGATGAAAAATCGTATACAATACAAAAAATAATATACTATTACAAGCCTTGCCTTCGGTGCTCTGGGCCAATTTGAAGTTTGAAAGATAAAGCGCTGCTGATTCATAAATTTACGTTGATGTTACTTACGGCGCTATCTCGGCAAAATATACAGATATAATCATCGGTCAGCACAGATAGACACGGCGGTGGGTTATCACCTGTCATGAATTACAATTACATCGTGCGTAAGATTCGCCGTTTTTTTTTTATCTTTTTGGTAAGCTTATTACGAGTATTTGTCGTAAACCCATTGACTTTTCATGCGTATAAGAATGAATGTTCGATAAAGATATTAAATATACGTTTTAAAAAGCGAAGCCTTACCTCTATGAGCTACCAAGATAACGGCCTATTTTGGTTTATGACTAAGATAATTGTCTTTTTTATAAAAAACTATATGGATATTTGATTCGATCGTCATTTGCGTGTATATCGATTCAGCGACACAAACGATTCAGTGCGTAGTGAAACAAAACGATGAAATCATGACTTCGAATACACTGCTTTACAAGGATAAAGGTAAACACGGCGAGGTATCATTCGTACACATGAAACTTGTACACGGGCATTTCTGTACACAAGTAAAATGTGTCCAATATTTGTGCACATAATCAAAAATTTTTTTTTAATTCAAAAATGTTTAAAAATAATCGTAATCGTAAATTTTTGAATTTAAAAAAAGTTCGATTATGTATACTAATATTGGACACATTTTACTTGTGTACAGAAATGCCCGTGTACAAGTTTCATGTGTACGAATGATACCTTGCCGTAAACGCCTATTATTTTTAATCAAATTTATTATTCAAAGTTTTATCCCTCATGAAAATTTTCAAAATCAGTTGTAGTTCATTTATAAAAACAAAATTCATATAAATATGAAAAAACGTCTTTTAAAAATTTTTCTATTTGATCTATTGTTATGAGTGCAGCATAACCAATCCTTTTTTCCCTGACTTTGTAATTCGACTCAGATCAATCATCGTTTAGGAAAAGTTTGACTCTACTTACAAAAATATTTTCTGATGTACAATGAGTAATAAACAGTGAAGATAACAGCATTCAAATCGATATGATTTTTTTCTTTATTTTCAGCTGATATTTACCGGCTCAAACGCCGACAGTTAGACAATTATTAAACCTCTTTTTTTTCATTTAAATAAAAATACTCAATATTTAATGGAGTGCATTCTATATTTTGAGGCAACAAAACGTCATGAATTAATTTTACAATTGGGAACTCTTATGGGTCGTTTCTTTGAGGGCTAATTATGCTAAAAATCAAACATATTTGATAAATTTTATAATTTTTCAGGTCCAAAATGCTCAGAAGTGCCCCAGATTTTCATGATATTTTTTGCGGTACTGATCTTCCATCAATCCTTTACCACGCAAAATGGCTTAGGAATTACCTTCATGTTAAAAAGTAATTATTGATTTTTCTCTTGAAAGATAGCCTACGACAATTATTAAAAGTTATTTACATTATTAATTTTAGGTTGGCCTTACCTTTTAAAAACTTTGAGCTACGTTATGCTGATCGTAGCAGCTGCTGTCTTAGCCACTAATTGGAGTGCCAAGAATCTTTTATGTCTGAGCATTGCCGGCATCGGTATGCTGCACTTGATTCAAGGGATTCTAGATCAAACCATAGATCCACAGTCCGAACAGTTGAACGATTTCTTCAAGCGGTTAATGAGTATAGCTTATGGCGTAACCCATGCGCCAGTTCTGCCTTGCGTTTACGTACTCTTGGCTCGCTTGACGCCGCCTCAAGACAGAGCGACTTTTGGTAAGCTTAAAAATTCTCAATTTAGAACGCTATCTACCATATAATAATGTTAATAATGTTCGCACACTTACAGGCTCATATGTTTTTTCTGCCAAGCAATGTAGCACTATAATTTTTCTCATCGTTACTACGTGCTGTGCAAACGACAATAGTTTCCTTGAAGTTTACTACGCTACATACTCAATTTTTGGATTGATCGCCGTGGTTTGGAGTATCGTGTACTATTTTGTGGGATCCAACTATGATCTGGAATTCGTGGACCAAGCTCCATCGTTCAAGCCACAAATACCTTGGAGCTCGATTCTGTCGTCGTTGCCCGTCTGGACTTTGATATTTTCTCACGCGTCTAGCTTTGCTGTTCAAGTAGTCACAATGAAGCGAGTAAGATCAAATTTCTTTCCTTTTTTTTTTTTTTTTTATTGATCCCAACACTAATCTACAAACAATCAGTTAGAGTCAATACATGTTTCAAAATATGTAGTGTTCTTGCTCTGGGTGATGGGTGGCCTCAGTTCGGGCTTGCTGTCGGACACACTTGTGGCGCAAAACTATTTGACAAGACTCAATGCTCGAAAGATCTTCAATTCTCTCGCTATATGCGTACCAATGTCAGCATTCATAGTCATGTTTGTACTTGAGCAAACGTCACCAACGATATATTATAACTACATCTTCGTGTGGACAAACATAAAGGTCGTTTTGATAGTATTAACAAGCTTTCAAAGTTGTGGTTTTATGATCAACCACGTAGACTTGAGTCCGTACTATGCAGGCATTCTCATCGCTATTACTGAAATTGCGAATCAAATAGTCACAGGCTTAGTGGTTCTTGTCACAAACTTATGCGTGAGTATGCACAACTTTTTTAACGCATGGATCGATCGATATAACCGAGTTTTTTTTCTCTTTTTCAGGCGACTCAACTGACGGGAGATTCGTTCTTAATAGATATACTGTGTTTATCAGCCGCTTTTTCTATTTATACGAGTATCTTCTTTGCAATATCCAGTGAAGCAAGTATCCAGGAGAAGTGGAGCCCAGTTCCATCGGGGTATCAAGATCAAAATAGATTGCATGGTCAAATGTATTGTAACGAAAACAGGTGTTGAATCAACAGTACCTAAAATATAATAATAGTGTATTGTTCAGGACTGAAAGGAAGATTAAATATTTTTAATATTCTTGTAAAAGTATTAGGCTGTAAAATTAAACTTTCGTCTGTTGTATAGTCCATCAAGCTAAGAGCTCGGGCCTCGGACTGGGGGTGTGCAACCTTAACTGCGTGATAACTTTAGAATACTATCACCTCAAGTTCGAGCCTATGACAGTGTAATCTGTAATGTGTACGAATTCACATGTGTTCATGTCCGACCTACGCATTCAGAAGGCGATTTGAAAAGTTGTCAAAGCCTGCTGGCTGACATTGCTATCCGCTGCTCTTCTGCAGTTGCTAAGTACATTTGAATGTTGATCAAGTCGAATAAGACTCGAAAAGCAAGTCAGTTTATTAAAAGTGTTCTTATAGCATCCGAGTTGTAATGTGAGTTGCTCATGCGTATGTACGCATGCGTGTGCAGTGTGACACTGATGTTTAGAACCCGATATGTAAAATGTGACGACGAAATTAGTTTTTGTAGCCACGACGGACATTTTTAGTTAGGCTTATACTTTTCCTCGGTTGCGACAACAAAAGTCCATTTTGTTGTGTGAAAAGAGAAAATAGTTTCCATGGCTAAAATATTTTTGGCTACAAAAACGACTTTTGTTCTCACAACTAACGTTTTTCACAACTAACACAAATTTTCAAGGAGCAAAAGCAAAGATCCAATCAATTCGAAGAATAACGGACAGTCTAGTGTGTATAAATGTACGTGGGCTTCTGTGCATGTAGCATGTGCACTATATATGCGTTTACAGTACGCTGAGCTGCATTCTCTCCTCTGACTTCGCTCCATCTCCCTCTCTCTCTCTCTTTTCTTCGCGCACGCGCGAACTTGTGTTGCATCCGAGCTTCGAATGTATTTCTATATGCCTGTGTAAGGATCATATATATATACGTGTGTGTACGACTGCGAGACGACGCAACATGCGAAAGATAGAGAGAAAAAGAGTCGAACGCGCGCAGGTATACACATATCCGGCGCGTTCATACAGGTATTCGAAAGCAGCGCGCCTCCCGAACACTACATAGCACACGATGCTCTCGAGCCCAAACTTGCGACGATAATGTACATACATGTCGAGAGAGCGAAGAAAATAGGTATATAGGGAATAGGTAACGTCCGATTTGTTCGATTCTCCCTTTCTGCAGAGAGAGAGAGAGAGAGACACACACATTGAGCTTGCAGTGTAGCACCTGTGTGTACTCAGCGTTCAGAGCTCGGACGAAAAGTAGGCTATGGCAGCGCTTCGTATATACATGTATATATAAAATCTCTCTCTCTCGGATGGAAGTTTTTTGTCGGCGAAATAGCTGTGCGCGCAAAGCGCGACACAAAGCGAGAGTACAAAGGTGCATTCGAATTTTCCCCGAGTACATAATAATAATCTTATCTTACTTCGTTTTTTTTCTTCGAAAGATCGAAACATGTCCTATCTCGCGGGTAGTTGAAACGAAAATTCGAAATACTTAATCGTATACTCTGCGAGAACGAGCTTATTTTGAGGAATTTTTTGAATAGATATATAAACCTTTGTCTACAAAGTATGCATATATATCGTGGAGCTTCGCGGCGTAGGTATGCACGAGTCGTGACCCTATACATCGATCGATATATCGTCCAATAGTGTCTGTCTGCCCGATTGTGTGGGTGTTATGTTATACGAGAGGCAGTAATGTATGCAACGTCTACAACTGTCTATATTACTCGACATTGTATCTATATGCTCACCCTCACTCCCCCTCGTTTTACAACTATACGGCTAATACTTCATCGGCTCGACGCGTCGAATGATCCATGATGCGCGTGCAGCTATAATACATTACACGACTTTTTTTTCTCTTCCCTATAGAAGCCTATCGATGTACCCGAGCTCGTCACATAATTATTACCTCGCGTGTTGAAGTATATTACGAGCCACGGAGTTCAATTACATGATACGTATAGATCAGGTACACGTGAATAATCGAACTGCACAAATGGATCTCGTTATTTTTTTTACTTTTTGTTTTTTATAATCAACGTCTATTGCAGTAATTAGACGCGTCACGTCTATCTCATGTCACGTGGCCACTCGTACACGTCAGCCACGACGCTAATTTTCATAGAAAAAAGGGGAGAGGATTTTTACGCACGTACCGTTCATACAGATTAGCCGCATCCGAGCTTTGTGAATTTCGCGATTCATCCACGGGCAAATTATTTTATCGCACGTGATTTTGTTTTGCGCACGCATAACAGCGTACCGATGCAATCTGTCCGACAGAATACAGAGTTTTTCTACTTGCCATCGCAATGTATAAATATTCGAACTCGATTTGCCGCCTCGCAGTCGAGGCGTATGTGTATATCTTCGTCGTAGCTAAAACGAAAGAGTCCCCTTTTCCCACTGGGTATTCGAATCTCGAATTTTAATCTAAAAAGTTCTCTCGCTCTTTATTCCTTTACCCCTAATCGAATACGAAAATTTTTCACATCTTGTGTAGAATGGTGTTGCAATCATCTTGGTACCGTTTTCGTACGGTCCAGGTTCGATTATGTTGGGTTTACCGATCGCCTAATTGCGCAGTGGATGGATAGTGCGTGCAACCGAGAATCACCGACTGGGAAGCGAAATTATTGATTGATTAATTCATTCTAGTGTTCAAATTTGCACCGATCTTTTGGCTGTGTGATAATAAAAATATTTTTTTATTTTTTTGCTGTCTCGTCAAATTTATCTTTAAGCTATTATGTATGATATGTTCGATGAACAAATTGTTAAACATACCTTCCATGAGAAGTACTAAAAATTGATCAATCAAAGGTAATTACTTGTGTCGTTTAATATAATTTGATGATTACTATAATAATTTAATTAGTCAAATTACTTATTGGATTCCACGTTTAAATCTATTATTTATAGATCGTCATAGACATCACTTCGCAAAACAATCAATTAGAATAAAGTTTGAAATATATAAACGTAAGTCGCCGACAGTTGTAACACTAAAAATCCATATAACTTGCTAAATTGATGGAGAATTAATACAATACATCATGATATAATTGAAAATTGACATAAAAAACATTAAGAAACTAAAACTTAGTATCCCACAGGTAAATTATAATGATAATAACAATAAAAAATAGAAATAAATATCTTTGAATTAATTTACTTTGTTCACTTTGAAGCGATAAGTCCCAGAACTGGCTTCCATTCACCGCACGTGTCCACGCGTGAGCTCTCCTGCACATATGTACGCAGTTCGCATGCGGTATGTGAAGCGGCATTAGCGCAAAACACAGAGTGCGCCGCCAAGAGATTCGCTCAACTATTCCAGAGAATATACCTATACCCGTTGAAGTGGACTTTCAATCAAAGCTTTCGCCCGCACACAGTGCCGCAAACTTTTTCCGATCCTCTCACCTTTTTCTGTTCTCGTTTAATTTACTTACTCGAGAGAGAAGGACAAAAAGGAAGAGAGTTATGCACTTCTACAAAACTCATGTCCTACGTGATTTTAAACCTATTTGTATAAATCGCGCACCGTCTACATCTTTCTCTTATCGTAATTGCGGCGAGTTCATCCTTACGGTTGTTGTTATTTTAGATATTGTCCACGAAAAAGAAAATGTTAAACACGATAAAAGCTGAGTTCGGTTTTCCCTGCACGTACATACACACATGTAGAAACTTTTTTTGAAGGGAAATTCATTACACGAATTATCTCTATCCCACAAAGAAACCAATACATTACTTCAATAAAATACAAAGTTTATTTACCTCAATGCCCACAACGTTACATATATACAATATGCGATCGCTTAATTGAATTTATCGATCGCTAAAAGTATCTAAACAAGCGTCAAAGCAAAACAATAATGTTGTTGGATGCAATTACGATAACTAATATCAAAATTGGATGGAACAAATAACAAAAAATAAAGTAAAATAAATAATAAAATAAATAAAACAAGCATGTCTTCGGAACTAGTTTATATGTATACGGAAGCAAATATCCGATGCAGAAGATGATAATCCGATCGATCTAACGCGGAGCTGTCCCTGCTCTGCCCACGTACGTGTGTGAAGGTGTGCGAGGGAGTGTGGGCGGAGAGATCCGTCAACATCGAAATTGCTTATGTATCGAGTAAATATTTACCGTGTAACCGAAATTTGCGGCAGGAAGATTAGCGAGGAGAGTATACACGTAGTTATAAATAGGATATGCCTCGAGGCCAAAGGGAAGATGAATTTTTGCCTCGGCCTGCTGCTCCTGTCGCTACTTTGAATTTTAACCTCGTTATAAAGCCCTTATAGTACCGAGTTGACATCTTATACTGATAATTGTCACAGAAGTTTGATGATTTTATAATTTTACAAACGGGACCAATCGCTTCCGGCTGTGTATAGTTTTATTAAAATTATGCGATTGTTCGCGTCGAGCGATGCAAATGAGGGCCGAGTCACGGCGCACTCACTACTCAAGAGTGTAGCAAAAACAGTTTTTATTCTACGCGGCAATACGATCTTTTCCTTCACAGCGTCTCTCGAAATTACCCCTCGAGGGCTACGAGATATCATTTCGCTTACGGAGCTCGTAAATATAAGTTCAGCGATCGAATGATCGATCGTTAACGAAGGATAAAAAATAAAAAAAATGTTGTCCTTCGCGACTCGCGAACAAAGAGCCTGGGTCGCATTGTACGACATAAAGACGCCAATAAAATTCAATGAGATCGTATTTCTCGGTTCTCGATTTCTGTGTGTACGCCCGAGCGCGGTTTGAAAAATCACTCTCTTTTTCCGAACTCGCGTGTACATAGGAATGCTCCGCCTCGGGGGTTGGTGCGGGGTAACGCAATTTCGAGCTTTCAAAACTATTGTACGACCCGCGCGCGTGCGAGAATCGTTTTCGGGGGTGCGCCTCGTAAAAGAAAAGCATAATATATACGAGCATATATATAACAGAATACGGACGATCAATTTAATACCGTAAAGCCACCGTCTCGTGTAACGCGCAGCTCTCTTCGTTTTGCACTCGCTTATAAGCCGAGAGCGCGTCGAGTGATATATTGCAGCATTATGCGCGCGGGGTACGGCTGCAGCTTAACTAAGCTCTGGTTAACAAGAAGCTCGCTCGCAAGCGCGCGAACTTTTTGCTTAGCTCGCGCGTATCAGGCTCGAACA